CTACACTCTAACCAAAGAATTTTTTTCTATTAAAATCCCTATTTGAGATCATCTTGGATCAGGTGACTATAAAGTCACTCGTTCTCTCTTTGACCGGCTCGACGACGAAAGCTTCTGCCTTTGCAATCTCTGAGGAAAGGAGCAACTTGTTGTAAAACTGTCCGATGACTTTGCGGCGAAAAATCATCGTTCCTCGTGATACAGCCAGCAGATTCTTTCGTCAAAAGTTAGCTTTTGGTTAGCTTAGGGAATCACTCAAAAGCAGCGAAACTCTAAGCCAGTTCTGACCAAGGGGAACCTTCGCCGCACTTAGTGTAAAAGAATAAAATGTTATGGCAACAGAAACGAACACAGCTACCCGTTCTTAACATAGAACTCTCCATAGAAAAAAAAACGCAACAAACTAATATAAACAATCAGTAACGGGAGTCTTCTGTTCTCATCTTGACCTGTCAGAACTCTCGGTAGAGCTTACTTTCGTGTCACTGGTACTTTGAGAGCCTTCGATCTCTTTTGACAGCGGTGGAGTTTTAAAATGCTGACGAAATTAGAAATGTCGTTGGGTAGTCATTGGCTGGTCACCTGTTTCATTTATTTAATCCGGGCCAGACAGGGAAAATATGTCAGACAAGCAAAATTTGTGGATATTTGGCTATGGTTCTCTGATATGGAAGGTAAACTTTCCATTTTTGAGGAAACTTCCTGGTTTCATCGAAGGATACGAGCGAAGATTCTACCAGGGAAGCAGTGATCACAGAGGTGTTCCAGAGAAGGTACGAATTCTGACAGGCAATCAAACTGGAAAATTTCCTGCCATTAAGTCAATATTCATGGTGAAGAACGTTTTTTTCCTCGCTGTCGTTTGAGTTTATTTCGCGTCTCTATTTTTCTAAATCGAACAGCTAAGGGTTAACATGCACAAGTTTTCTCTCTAGCAATTTGTAATTTCTTGGAGGGTATGAAAAGGCAAAATGTCAAAGCTCTCCATCCTTTGGCGTCGGTGCTGGCAGGTGAACTACACGTAATAATCTACAAACGAAAGAAAATTACATTCATGTCTCTCGTATCCGTTTTTTGTTTCAGCCTGGAAGAGTGGTTACACTCCTGGAAAATGCCGAGGTAATTTTGTGGTTGTATGTTGAGACTGTTACATTTGATATACGTATTACTCTTCTGTAACAAGGAACGAACAAACGAGAGGAATAAATAATCAGTTGTTAAATCTACCAGTTAAGTATTTTTGAGGAAACCTCTGAATGAAGAACAAATTATGAGGAATACAAAATTTCATTGATTTATTATAACTGTTCATTTAATTGTTTACGTTTAAACTCAATTGCTACAGGAAAAAGTTTGGGGAATTGCCTATGAAATTGCAGCAAAGGATATACCCAGTGTGATTGACTACCTTGACTACAGAGAGAAGAATGGCTACAAGGCAACATGGGTAACATTTCATCCTCAAGATACTTGCCATCATCCTTTTGAAACAAAGCTTTACATTGCAACACCTCAGAATGAATTTTATCTTGGACCTGCACCGTTATCAGAGATTGCAAACCAAATTCTACACTCTAAGGGTCCTAGTGGGACAAACTCTGACTATCTTCTAAACTTAGCTCAAGGCCTTCGGGACATTTGTTCAGACATTAAGGATGATCATTTATTTCAGCTGGAAATCCTAGTTAGGAAGGGTTTATCCAATGCGGCTTCTAATTGCCCTTTATCTTAATCAATTCCTCTCTCTTAAATTTTGCAAGACTGGCCTACATATTTTTAAATTGACATTGATCCCCTAAAAAAATTTTGGATGCCAGATTCTTTTGAGCCACAGGCAACAATTGAAAAGTAAGTTTTGAAATGAATGTTTCCCAAATTGCATATTAAGTAGTTTTTCATACATAGCATCAAATGTGCATTTACCCTCTAGTTGTTTGGTATCTATGTCTTTAAAAAAAGATACAAAAACCAAGACTTTAAGTGTCACTCCAGAGTATAACAAAGGAGGGTGGGGTCCTGAAAATTTGGACTTCATATGTGTAAAAGGAAAACTTCAAATCTATCTTCTTGTGTACAAGGTGTGAGGGAAATTTTGATGTTTTTTCACAATGGAAAAAATTTCACAGGTCACATTTCACATACATTTCAGGAGGCAAGTCACACCTCACTCTGGTACATAAGTTCAGAAATCATGCTCACCTTTTTTGTAAAATTCATGCATCATGCATCACAAGTCACATAAAAACCCTCTGCCATCCTCACTCCCATCTGTAATGAAAGAATTTCTTGGTAACAGTTCTAGGAGTTGAAGAACCTCCTTTAAAAATTTTGTTTACCCTTGAACCCTAACACATACTTCAGTGTGTATGTTCTCCATACTACTCTCAGTACTTTTCTTAAGAGGCTGACAGGGAGAATTTTTGTATCAATCAAGAGCTTCCTTAGTTGTTGATTATTTCCTTTATTCTTGTGACCTTAATGTGTGATTGAGGGGTGGTATGGTAAGAAGAAATTAGGTGCTGGTCAATCTGAGGGTTAAAGGGTTGATAGATAACATTTAAAAATTCCAAAGTACATTGTAGGTAAAAATTTTAAGACAAATTTAGTTTGGAACACTTAATTGAAACACAAGCTTGCAGCATACCACACACAATCTGTCACAAAGGTGTAAGTTTTTAAATATAAAAGGACATTGTATATTGTGGCTGATTATTTATTTTTGTGTTTATCTATTTATCACGTGTTAGGCACACTTTTCATATTCTGAAATCCTTGAAACTATAGACAGAATGTTGACAAGTTCAAATTCAGCCTACATTCAAGCATTCCTAATGACAACAAATCAGCCAGGGCACTTTTTTTTTTTTTCATTCAAGGATGGTTCATTTACAGGCTATATTAACCCTTTCACTCCGAAGATTACATTTTCTGTCTGCTATACTAGTCTTATAATGTTAGTTTGGAGACTTTAATGGATCAATTTATCCTCAAATTGATTCTTTCTTCATTCTCATCACTAATGTCTGCATGTTATTATAGGGATATTGTAAGGAGAAATTCTATCTTTCTCACTTATGGGAGTTAAAGGGTTAACTGAGATGAACTTAACAGATTGAGTTTGATATTTAATTATTTATTGTCAATTGAATTTTATTGAATACCTATATTTTATCACAGAGTGACTCTTACAGTTATGTTATGATTAGCATTCCTGATAATTTGGGAAGGAACACCAAATCACATGATTATTTTAAAAGATGTAACATAATTGCCATCTGGAATGTTTGTATGTGAAAAAGGTAGTCCAATATAGCTTTTAACTGCTGTTGGGAATAAACAGAAATTTTTATTTACCAAGTTTAGTCCTTTACAACTTTATTTGTATGGGGTGGCCCCTCTTTGTTTGATCCTGTTATTTATTTTTCCTATACAATGAAAATAGTGATAATAATAATAATGTTAATGCTGATGATAATAGTGATACATTTGAATCTGTATTAAGTTGTCATCTATGGAGAATGGCAGGGTGACTGCTTAATACAGGTTACCCAGAATAGAGGTATAATGAAAAAGAACAAAAATGCCATTTTAAGCCATAATTGACCAATTTACAAAAACCTGCTTAAAACTTCATCTAACATCGATTTTGAGAGACAGTGAAAGATTCAGTTTTACTTGAAAGATTATTCTTCATTTTAAAAACAGGTGGAGGACAATACAAACAGGCTGTTAGGACTCCATTACGGTTGACCACAATTGCTTAATAGAGGTGACGGCTTAATAGTAATAAAAAATTACAGTGATTTAGGGGAAAAAATTTTGGGACTTTGAAAAGCAACTGCTTAGTACAGGGTGACTGCTTTATATGGTGCCACTTAACATAGGTTCAACTGTAGAAATGATGATAATGATGACAATTATTTATTAACAGTAATTGATTGATCATACTCATTAAGAATGCTAGTTACAGTGGGAATGGAGTCCTTGTAACCTGTATTGTCAGCTGTTATGGATCTCCAAGTTTGTTGTCTCAAGGAAAGAAGTATAGCTGTTGCATGTATGAGTATAAATGGAGTAAGACAGTCATCCCTTTCCCATGTTCCAAAATGTGACTACATAACAACCAACAACAAAAAATAAAACAAGCTGTACAATTCTTAATCAAAGCAGGAGGTAGACCACTTTACCACTTCAAAATTAATTCGTCAATCTACAGAGGGTTCCAGCCATCACTCAAATCTATCACTGGTACATTGTACATTAATTTAGACACATAATTCACATAAAATGAGAAAACATCAAAAAATTAACTGTGGCCAATTTTACCCATTATGTTGTGAACATAGCAAGCTGGATTTTGTTATTAAGTGGTTCAACATTCTCATTGTTGATTAATTTCTATCATTCATTGGATAGTATGGGCAAACTTTGGTCCTGCAACACACAGCAGGACACAAAAGGGTTAACCAAGGTGACAGTTGTCAGACAGAAATTAGATTACCCACATTTTGAAAAATTAATGAGTAGTTCCCCTACTTAGAACCACCGTTTTATTCAAGTTCTTGCATAATGTCAGAGAGCAGGTCGTATCTGGAAAAAAGAGCATTTTTTAGTATCATAATTTCGAAGGAATTTCGCTGAATATTTGGCGTTTTCTGAGGAGGTTTGGTTAGTCAGCTGATATGATAATTACTTAATTTTTGGCAAGGGTTTGTCCCAGCTCAGGGAACTTTTGATTGGTTAGATTTTTCCAACCGTGAATTTTGATTGGTCGATATTGAATAATCGTCTTACCCACAAAGTCACGAGACTCGTGTCACGGGATTTAGTATTCGCTCTTAAAATAATTTTTGTCTGTACTTGGATCAGTTTCTGTGCTTGTCATCTGAAATATACAAAGGCAATCCAGTGGAGAAAACTACAATTGACTTGAACGTTCTAGAAAATGAGCAAGTTCAAGTGTAAGTGTCTAAATGTCACTATTCATGTGAAAGAAAAAGCGACTCGCGAAGCGGAAGGAACAGCGTTTGTCTCTGAGAATTGCTCTGAACCTTTTTTCACCAAGGAGCTGTACGAAGTTGAACTGGCTGTCGGCGGAATAACAAAGGTGATTTGTAGCGTACGTTTCAGTATCCGGATAGGGAACACTAAGGGATATTTTAAAGTCGCGTCGAGCTGTGCATTATCGGTGACAAGCCGCAAAGCCTTGGCGCGCTTTTTCCAGTTATACCCGCGGTACTCTTTTCAATCATCTTTGCTTCGCTTTTAAATTTCTCGTCGTTTACCGTCGCATTTCCCTTCACCGCCGTAAGGAAGTCGGCCCCGTGACTTGTCGAGCTTATTGCATCAGATTTCTGGCATGGAATTCTTGAATTACTAACGGGAAATTCTACACCAGCGAACAAGGGAGTACGACATGACCTCAAGTGAAGCTCTCTGTTAGACTACTAACATCGATGTTTATTGCTAAGCTAAATATCAGCAAACAACTGGAATGCCGAACACTTATATCGTCCTTTGCCTTCGGGTTAAAGAGCCATAAACGTTCTCCGTTTCATTTCGTTACACCTTGTATTTTCTAATTGCACCTATAAATAGAAAGGGGATTGAGACTGGTCCCGAGTCGCATTGCAGCAGTATTATACATGTACCGCTTTTTGTGGTGATCATTTGATTTTTCTAGTTTTTTTTTTCATATTTATAACCTCACATTAAACATTGGTATCTTGAAATAAATTTTTTCTTTGCTTTGGTTTAATCCAGGAAGTTGGAAGTCTTGTGAGAGAAACCAAAGCTGAAGACTGGGATGTTTTCTCGTGTATAAACTGCAACATGGATACACATGCTTTACACGCCGTGAAAAAGTACGACCGAGTATTAATGAGTAGAGGAATGGAGGTAAGGCCATAACCAACTCTTCTATATATTGCTGCAAAGCTGAAAAAAAATTGTGGTTGTGGTTTCTCTCGCTAAGAATCAGCTGGAAAACAAACAGTTAGCTGTTTGTGGTAATGGTGGGGGTAAGATTGACAAGGTTGATGCCCGATGTGAAATAATTCAATTTCAGGGTTGGTTATTCATCTCTGTACTTCTTATTTAACTTAACTCTTTTGAGTGGTCAGCTCTGGAACTATCATCTTTCCTGTACCTGCTTTTAGATTCAAACAGATGAACAGGTGTTTTCTGGTGTCTTATTATGTATCCACTTTGTCCTGGGAAATTGTTAATTGATATTGAAATGTTACATTTGGCATACTAAAAATTCTAACATCCAATACCAATAACCTTTGACTAATGACAGTTTACACATATAAAGATAATATTTTGTTGCGAAGATCAGTTAGTTGGGTTTATTTGAAGCTTGGTGAAGACCATCAAAATATGATTTGTTTATCTTTTGTTGTCAATTTCAGAGTGATCCAGTTGTTCACAGTAAAAGTGCTAGTTCCTCTGAATATTCTTCAATCTTCAAACTTATTCTAAAACCTGCAAAAGAAAATGATCCAGATGTTGTGGATAACTCATGTGAGTAATTAGGTGTAGCATCTTGGTATATGTTAGCTTTGATCTATTCTGGCACCTTTTTCTAATTTTGAGATTTCAAACTAAGAAAATTCTTCTCGTATATCCCTTTAATTAGCTTATTGTTATATCAAGCATTAACTGCCAGTGTACCAAGGGTCTGTTTACATCAAGCTAGGGTAGTGCAGTTGTGAACAACAGTTAACCAGTTCAGGAGGGAAACTTGGTAGAGCTTTTAGTTGTACTTGGTCTGTCATGGTGTTTTCAACTAATACCTTGAAATATTAAGGGTTAAAGTTGTTAAGTCTGTACTTGGTCCAAGAGACCCACAAGGTACCAGAGCTTATTCTCCTTGGATGGGAAGCAAGTCCCCTGTGGGTTACCCCAAAGATTTACAGGCTTCCCTTTCAGTTTGATACATATACATTCTTCCAGGTAGACACTGAGAGAGTTCTTCAGGGTTTCCTGACAAGAGGGCAACCTATGAGCTTTGACATCTGGACCCCTGGACCCAGAGTCCAAAGGTCCAACTGTTAAAGCTTCTGGGTCTCCCAATATTTCCATATAATGATAGCAAAAAAGGGTATAACTATTTGTAACAGAAGAGAACTCCCCACACCCCTTTCTGTTGTCATTGTACCATTAGACAATTACTTTCTGACAATCTTTGCAGCATACTTCCATGACTCTAGATTAAATTATGGTACTTCATTGATTAAGCATGGGACATTATAATATATATATAATCTGATGAAAGTTGGTAACAAAATTAGATATTTGCTTTGTGTGAACAGAAATTGAAGCTGAGTCTTTTTATCTGTAAAAACACTCAATGAGATTTAACTTTCTTTGATGTAAACAAAAAACTATGGTAACGTTTCTGTTCAATTGAAATTAAAGTTAGAAAACATGACAGTGGTGAGTTTTCAAAATTCCATTGTGTTGACTCTGTAAACCTATCTATAGAGGAAGTCAAGATATCAGTGACATGTGACATAATTGTGACATGTGACACAATTGTGACTGCTCTATGATCATTAAGTCACAAGATCAAACTAAAATTTGCTTTTTATGGCAAATGATATCTTATGATACTGTTTCATATTAAAATATCACTGGCATTTTATGGAGAGTGACCTATTTACCCTGTAGATATTACATGTATATATAAAGGAAGAGAAGCTCTGATGATATTTTAGAACAGTATAAAATTTGTAGTTGGTTGTGTTTATGATTATAAACAAGGAAAACTATTTGATCAGTTGCAGGCAACGCTATTTTGTTGGGTCAAGACAGGATCTCTCTTGCCATGGTCAGTGTACAGGAACAAGTCAAAAAATTCCTACAAGCTGAAGAGGATGCAATGAATGAAAGAATAAGGTAACAGTGTCATTGTTATTCCACGTCATGTGTGATATGATGTGCAAGAGAAACCAGTGGCAGGTTCTGAGGATCATCATTTGTGGAGTGGCTTGAAAAAATGGGCTAAAACAAGTTTCAGAATATTTTGTGAATCATTGTGATCATTGTCTCTCATTAGTCATGTGTTCTTCTTACTTTTTCCACATTTAGAAAATTTGTTGCGGCGCAAAAGGAAGCATTTACAACCCTTCAAGCACAGGTGTTCAAGGATAAACAAGCTGTTTACTGGTATGTAACATGCTTTTGATTTTCACTAATTTTGCTGTGATTTCAGTATGTTTATGAATTAACCCTTTAACCCCTAAGGGTGATAAACTTCTTATTTCTCTCAACAGTATTGCCCCTGAATCAAACAAAAAGGTTATGAGATTAAAAGAAATGATGTAGAAACTCAATAAGGTCTTGATTGTCAGGCAAATTCTCTTTTTCTGCACTCAGGGAAATATATAGAGAACAGTATGGAGAACTTGGATACTGATCTTTGGGTGTAAAGGGTTAAATATACTTGATTTGCTTGTCAGAGATCAAAATTATTTCAGTTTCATTAACAATAGGTCATGTGAAAGTCATTACTGATAGTAAACTTGCTCTTTTTTCACAACAGTGCTATCAAAAGAGAAGACGAAAAAGCCATGGAAAGCTCTCTGGATGAAGCCATGGCAGATAGTTCTTCTGACACCCCTGTATTATTTAAACCTGGTATGAACAGTCTTTCAAATGTGATATTTGATTATAGGGGCATAAATTTTTTATCAGTTGTGTCCGAAGTTTAGTGTGATGAAATATTATGTAGGTCATGTGTTTAGAAGGTTGCATTCAAAACAATTTTGAAATGCTCTGCATATTATTTGAAAGTGGTAGACACCTTTATTCTCTTGTCCTTTTGATAATAATTTTTTTTTAAATTCTACTGTGTGAAACCAAGAGATATCTGTTAAGCTTTTGCTAAAATCCTGCTAAAAAAGGAAAGCACTTGTTCAACTGTTTTTTATCTTTGTGGAAACTGTACTTTAGTCCTTTAACAAAGTCTCTGTTAGTTCTAATTTTGCATTCTGCCTCCTTTTCAGCTGTTTCAACTCGTGGGTGGAATGACCACCCCCCTGCCCAAGTCAACCAAGTCCACATAACTCAGGTGGCTCCTCATAAATATCCATTGAACCCAGGTGCTCATCCTCCTCGCAAGACAACCAGACGTCCACACAAATCACATCAAAAGAAAGAATCAGATGCTGATCCAGTGTTTTCTTTAGATGATTTTACAGATGACTGTGAACCATTCTTTGAGTCCGAAGAAGACGAGCTTAGTAGCAGTGGTATGAAAACATTTATATTGTGTATTAAAAAATCTGTTGTGCACATCCATACAAGGTTTGATCAGGTTTACAAAAACTGATGGTATTTCCCATGGTGTGTTTCCCCAAACAGAAAAACATTTCATATGATACATTTATTTAGGTACAGATAAATTAAACATTGCTTTCAACTGATAATTTGTACTAAAAGATGACAATTGTTTCTTTACTAGAACGTTCAATTTTTGGCTCCTGTAGATCCTAGGCCAGTACATCTCAGTTTTAAGTTTGAACTTGATACCAAAGAGTTAAAAGAGATTTTAATCTGGTTGACTATGTGCACAAAATTTGTATCAAAACTTTTTACAATAAGCACTAGAGAATAAGAACTGCATTCAACTGCTCTCTGCTTCTAATTTACCATCACCAATAACAACTTGACCAGAAGATATTGGGATTTCTTTTTCCATTTTTTACATAATAACAATATAACTTGTTATTATTTTATATACTTAAACAGTGGATAAGGTTGAAGGTGCATTCTGACTGGCTACTCAAACCCAGATATCCTTTGCTATTCACCTCTGAGCAACTTGAACTGGATTTGTTTCTGAAAATGTTGTAATTGTTTCAGGAATAAATTAGTTAAAATCATCTTTTTCTGCTACATTATCTCAATGTTTCGCTTTACAACTCAGTAAATATCCATCATTAGCCACCTCCACTCCAAGGAATAGTTGTTAATCATTCTACACTGTATGTTTTCACAAGACATATTTTATGCCAGATAGAGATTATACTAACACTACTTTACTTTGACCATGGTAGATAACAGCTTTAAAAGTGAAGAGCCTATCCATTACCCTGGATTAAGGAGTGTCAAAAAATCTACTCAATATTCCTCTTCCCTACCCATAAGCATGCCAGCAGGGAAAATTTCTCCTCCTATGGACGATCAAGAGGTAACTTCAATTGTAAGCTACTTACAAAGCAGAGTCATCAGTATTGAAAGTTGTGTACAGTTTCTGCCATATGACTTTAGGAAACTGACTGTTGTTTAAAATATGCAGAAATTAAGGTGGAAATTAAACTTTTAAATTGCTGCAGCTGAAGCTTTAAGAAACTTAAGGTGTCTTCTCTTGAGATTTATATTCTAATACATGCCAAAGGACTGTTTAAATTATCAAGCAATCTCTCTTCAGAGACAAATGTGTACATGCATTTTTTTCTTAATCTGGATATTGTTATCTTATTATTTCTTATAGTTTGCTATACCTGAACCAAGCAAGATTGGAGAATCCATGAAAGCATTAGCCCGCAGTGTTCACGACACATCTGAGAAGCTGTTTGGAGAACTACCTAGACCAAGACGGAGCACTTTCTCTCACAGATAGTATAGGGACTAAATATTATATTATTGTATTCTGAGCATAGTCAAAGGAAAGCGCCTCTGTACACTATGCAACAAACATTTTATTAAGATTAAGAGTTAAACTTTGAGCTGCCATATCTAACATGGATTGTTGAATTGATTCTATGGATAAAGCTTAATTGTGTGTCTTGTGCAAAAAATAAAAAATTCAACAGCATGCACAAAAAAGGTGTGAATTTACCCAGAGTTACTGGTAAAAGTAAAGAAGCATTTTGAAAATTGTGGCTATGGACCTTTTAGTGACATGACCAAATGAAATTGGCAATGCTGGATGGTTGTGAATATTGCAGCAATGTGTAGTATCGAATAAGTTCACTTTCAAAAGCTTTGCATTTAAGTATCACATTTCATTGCTATATTTGACAACTTGTGCGCTCTGTCGTGCAATTAAAATCAGGGTGATATATGATTATACTTTATACTAACATAAAGAATGATTACAACTAAATCCCTGTGATGGACCTCTGAGATTAAGAAACACAGCTCGCTTAGATTAAAGTCTACAAATCAGGTTACAGATATGACCCTTGAATCCTCTGTAATGTTAAACTTGTCTACTAGAGAGGTTTGCTGAGGATTTTGTCATCCATGTTAAATGTTAGAAAAAGATGCTGTGTTTTAACTTTGAAGCATGGATATTAATTAACATTCAGTAACTGGGATTTCTTTAACATTGTCTTCTTAGTGGTCAGAATTCAGTGGTCAGTAGTGTTAAATAAGAACGCGGTATTATAGAATGTATATGACTTTTATTTAAAATTAATTTTGTATATGAAAAATGTTTAGCACATTGTGACGAAAGAGTTAAGTTGGTATTGGTATTTTATATTTATGAAACTTTGGAGTTGGCCAATTGGTCCAATAAAGAAAGATATATATATATATATATATATACATATATATATGTTTTAATGTAGTGTCTGATTGCTTCTTCATTATGGAGAGATTTTGGATAAAAAGAAGTGAGGGCGCAGTTTTCATGCTAAAATTTACACAACTGCATTTCAATTTGAATAAGAGATGACTGGAAAGCTTTCCTCCGTAGAAGCTACCTTGACTAGATGTACACTACAAGCAAAGCTTACGGTCTTTACGTTATTCCTTTCTTAGAATTTCACCAAGACAGAGAGGAGGTTCATTAAATTTAAAGGGGTATATACTGGCTACAAAGATGTTTCCTGTGCGAGGAAGGAAACTCTAGAAACATGTGACCAATCAGAACATAGAGTTTGTGGCATATTGGCGGGTCAGGGATTTTGCCATGTACAAAGATCAGCCATTTATGTTATGTAATCAGGCTTCCTCATTTGAAAAGAAAGCTTCTTGATGAACACTTTATTGAGTGGTATGCTTGCATTCATCCCCAAACTTTCGTCAGATTTAACCTATTTATCAAATGCAAGTCAAATTCCTTGCAAGTGCGACTGTTCAAGATCCTGTGAAAATGAGTTCTATTTTATAAAGATGTTAAGGCGAAACTATTCGATACAGTTGTTTGGAGTTCCACCTAAACTGTCACCCTTTCCAAAGGAGGGTGGAGGGTTTTGGAGGGTGGAAGGGTAGGGGGGGAGGCACATTGCGAACGCTTTTTTGAAACGATACTCTACGGTATTCCATGGTTCTCTTAGTGTCCTTGTATCATCCCTGCCTATGAAAGTTTCTTAGGGATAGATTGTGACGAAGTTATCTATCCTTCATTGTCTTTATTGGCGTGAACTAACATCCATTATGATCCATCAAATATTTTTGGTCGTCGATCGCGATTGGTCTAAACGCAGCACGTAACCGAATATCCCCAGCGCCGTCTAAAACCAGGTAATATCCGAGAATATCACCGAAGCGATATTCCCCAATTGTCAAATTTTACGTCTATTACGATAAGTTTTCGTCTCAAATTCAGTTCAGGGAAAGAAAGGGTTATGTGTTTTTTTGTTCATTAAGTCGTACCAGAAAACACTCAAAAGGAAACATCCCACGCTGCATACAGTAAGCTCGACGTAAACAATTTTTCACGTGCGTCGCAAAATATTGGAGGGATAACAAACACAATAGCCCCTATTTTGCGCGAGCTTCGCTCTCGGAAAGCTGTCCGCATCTTTGAGTCAAATAGAGGATTTTGTTTATATAAATTGCTAAAAATTTATTCATTTATTAATTTTCCCATTGGGTAGACAAAGGTTATTTCGATTATTTAATCAAGATTTTCCATCTGGCCGCTTACAGTTAGTAGGTCATTAGGTGGAATACTGTGCTGCCCAGAATACCTAGTTTGACCGAGAGAGAACTGGGTCTACTTTACATTTGTCAGAAAGAGGACGAATGTTTTGATGCCTCAGTGGACTCGCATCATATCAGCGCTCTGTTTTTAACACTTTGAAGTGCACCTAAGGATCGATTTTGTCACGAAATTACTCATTCAATTCTCCGAGACTACATAGAGGCGAAATGTTTGGTAATCTCGTGAACAAGAACGCTCGCGCAGCTTTCAAAGAATATGGTGAACAATGTGGCGCATTGGCGAGCATTGAAGTTGCTGCCAGCTCTACAGAAAACCCCCACAACCCAAAGTTTGTTGCTGTTGCGAAACTTGGTGATCGCGCCTTTCTTCCCGCCACAGCTTCATCAAAGAAGGATGCTAAGGAATATGCCGCAGATCTAGCATTGCAAGAACTTGCTCAAGGTATTGTCTAAACCATACGCATAGATATGTTCGAGCACTGCACTGTAACTGTTGCAGCTGTATAGTTTTTTCCCTCCCACCTTAGAGCATCTTTTAATTGACAATCAATTTTTAAAGAGATTCGTTAACGGAAGTTTCCACTACTTGGCTAATTTAATTCATATCCATCGGACAGATTTTAGTTTCTTCTATTGTCACAAACCGACATAGATTGCTCGTTTGCGTGATTTCGTCGAATTCAATTATTAATCTCATTTCAAAACGCCATTACAATCTCTTTGTCGTAGAACCAAACCCAATCCACTGAGATTGTTGCACGACATCAGCTTAGGGCGGTGTCAAAATATTCAATTCTGAATTAGTGTTTGAGAGTTACTAAAATTTTACCACTGGTGCTCCAGGCTTATACCAGATAACATCCAAATTATCTGACATAATCTCCCTATTTCTCCTGATGCATATGGGAGCATAAGCTAATTCTGTACAAAGAAGTGTCAGGTGAGTAAGGCCATTACCATGTAAAAGGTGTCTTGGATACCACCAAATCTTCCATTTATTTCATAACTACACTCAAATTTACCATCTTTCTCATCCTATGGTCCTATCTTTAAATAATCCCCCCCTCTATGTTGTATACATTTCTTGGTGAATTAGTTGAGAGAGTTTGTTTCTATACAGGGGTCAGAGGTAAAATTTCAAGTTGATAGACCTGTCTGTTCTCATGACTTGTTTACTGGATAATGTCCTGGAATTGTGAAGAGAATTAAAACTTTGATCATAATAAAGGATTTCTCACAGTACCACTCAAAGGGATGTTGACAGTCCCTCAAATCTTTATCCTCAATTCTCAATCCTCAACAACCTAAAGGATTGAGGCTCAAGTCATTAGTTTTGAGATGTTCAAGTTGAGTATTGAGACCCTCAAAACTCAGTTTGAGACACTCCAAGTTGGGAAATAAAGGAGTTTTTACACAATTAATTTTTCACATGATTTGAAGTTTCTAACCTTTAGTCTAATCACTGTTTAGTCTACAGTGCTTTCAATAAGATCTGGCACCCACCGGAGCTTCAGTGGGTATTCTACTGTGAATCGCTGGGTATACTTTGGAAGCTTTCAAGCAAACTCACAAAGTGAGACCTAAAACACCACAAGATCTTCAAGGGTTATTTCATTCAAGTTTTATCTTTTTAAATGAGTTTTGATAAAAATGATAGATATTTTCTTATCCTGAATTCCAGCATACATTTTCATACATACAAAAGATTTTGAATTTCCAACAATGTACTGACTCAAATTTCAGAGGACTTTTTGTGTGAAAGTGAGGGAGCAGGCTTGCATGTCTGCAAATGGAAGATTTTGATCAGAAATAAAATGATCAATTGAACAATTGTTATAAAGGAGATGAAAATTTGATATTCATCTACAGAGTTTTAACACTGAAAATTCTCTTCAAAGCTTGTTTATTCTGAATGGAAGTAATGGGATAAGAATAGGAACATTCTCCAGCAGGTGCTTTACTGAGGTAGCCACCTTCTTCTAGTCTTATTGAAAGCACTGAGTCTAAGCATTTTGTCCTTTATTTATTTATTTTTTTTGCATGCAATAATTAAATCATTTTCTCGATACTGCGGTTTGAGACCCTCGAAAAGTTCTTCAAGTGTCTCGATCCTTGCTTCTCAATACTTGATACCTGAACCTTGACTCTTGAACCTCAAATCTTGATAGTTTCAAGTATCGAGGATTGAGTATCAAATCAAGACTGTCAACTTACCTTTGAGTGGTACAGCACATGATTTGAAGTTCCTAACCTTTAGTATAATCCATGGAATTATTTTTTTATTTTTTGTTATTGCAGAACCTCATGCCAGGTTTCAAGAGAATATCATGGGAGCAAATGGAGGAGAAATGCCAGAAATCCATCATGGGTTTGCTGGAAGACGCAGAAATGTTCACACCCGCAGGCAGCATGCAAAGATGAAGAGCACTGAGCTGTCAGCACCACCAGACAAAGACCCTGTGATGTTGCTTAATGAGTTTGGACAAAAACGAGGCCAGCTTGTGAGTTGGGATATATATTTTTATTTCTACCATGATTGAGAGATTATAATAAGTTAATAGGAAACACATAATATTCTTCAAATTAGATAATTTATTTCATTTCTTGGTTTTGCTGTTTTTACAGGAAACATATATATCTCTTACTAACCAAATTCAAGGTCCATGCTTAAAATTGTGGATCAAGGTTTTTCCAGTTGGATATATGGTGTAAGGTGTAAAAAAGCACTTAACAATTTTTCAAAGACTAGGAGTTGCACTTGCCTTACAGGCTTGTGTGATTTTTATTAAAATTATTGTCTTTGTTAGTGAAGTTTCTGATAATTTGCTGGGATTTTCCTAGAAAACAGAACCTAAGCCTGTTTTCTCACTGTGTTTGCTATGAGTAGGTGAAGTTTGAAGATGTGCAGTGCATGTATCCTGGATTATACAAGGCTCAGGTTACTGTAGGAGAGGTAACATTTGGACCAAAGTCAAGTTCCACCAAGAGAATGGCTAGAAAGTTTGCTGCTATTGAGGCACTGAAAACTCTGATGAATTGGGAACCTGCAGAGGGTATGGTGCATGTTTCTTTAGCCTACCCACCCAGTCATTGAACCCTTTGACTCCTAAGAGTGACTAGCATCTAATGTCTTTGTATAATAACACCCCTGATTACACAGTAAGGTCATACGAATAAAGGAAATGAATACCAACCTTATCAGCACCTTGGAAGATGCATGGAGAAAAGGGTGAAGAATATGAGCACTAATGTTTGAATGTAGAGGTTAAAAAGGAGATAATGCTATCCAGCATATATTTAGCAAATCACATCCAAACTACACTATTAAATTTGTAGTGGGTCTAATTTTTCTCAGTTTAAAACTTAATCACAACATAAGAAAACATGTAGATTGCAAACAGCTTTTTTTTTTATTCTTTGACACCAATTTGCTGAAACTGATTATTCACTGGAAAAGGCTACCCAGCCAACAAAAGATTCAGGCTGCAATCCTGAATATAACTTGAAAAGATTTAGATTTACAGTATTTCTTCAAGTATGCACCCACAATCCCCTGAATAAGCACCTGCCCTTTAGGCCATAATGTAAAACAAGCACACCTCTCAAATAAGCCCCCACCCCTTCCTCCCTCACTTTCTTTAACAGTAGGGATACAAGGAAAACCTGTTTCTATTGCCACTTTACTTATTACTTTTAATGCGTTAGCCAAAGGGGAATCAGTAAAGGAAAATAAAAAGCCCCCCCCCGACTATGCATCATTCTAATAAGTGCCCCTCCTTTTCTGCTGAAATTCAAAAGAGCTTATTTCAGGAAATAGGGTATTGATTTTTCTCTTTCAGAGGACTGCATTAAAAGTTGGGAGTATTGTTAAGAGAATGTCAGAGAATAGCCCATGTTTTTATCAAATTGCACTATAACTCTTTGCCCCGGTGAAAATAATTTGCACATGAAAACATGCTAATCATGTTTTTGTAACAATAAAAGTTCATCTCCAGGGTTGGTGTGGTAATCCAACTTTGAATATTTTCTTGTCAAGGTCTTTATGACGCCCCAGAGGAAAGTCCTCACTGGTCTGTTGGTCCTGGTGGTCCTGCCCCAGGAAAAGCTGTCTTGTTACGCAAAGATCCCATCATGCTTTTGAATGAGCACTGTCAGAGGAACCAGCTGAAGGTAACGGGAACCCCAGTGCATTTTGCAACTGAATTCACAAGACATTCTTGCTACAATTTATCCTTACCTGATCTGTTTCTGGATCCTTCGGAAGAATACCCTTGTGAAGTGCCCCCCTTCCCTTAGTTTGAATGTTGGAATAACCAAGTTATTATTAATAATCACTGAACAGATGCATGGCAAAATGTATTTTGCTTGTATGGATGGATCTCAGAGCCATCAAGTCTGTATCCAGTCACTTGGTACCCAGTTGTTTTGTTCCTAAGTTTGAGTGATTTTGCTCAGAGTTTGTACCAAAGTTTGAGTCAGTTCGTACCCAAACTGATGACCGATTCTTACTTGATTCTTACCCCTCCTAAAGTAAACTTATTTGAAATATCTCATGTATGAGCACATGAATAAATGTCAGTTGTTGCTTACAACAAGTTGTAGAGTCAAGCAGGTATAAGGGATACAAACAAAACTTTGTTGTGTATAGTTGTAACCTTATTGCTTTGCACAAGGTAAGGGTGATATTTTTTACCCAAAAACTCTATTGTTTGTAATTGTGACTTTTTCTAGCAATAACTAAGATTTCCAACCCTTTTCAGATTTCATATGAGGATCTTCCTCACTTGGGCCCTGATCACAAGAAGACTTTTTCATGCCAAGTCATTGTTGGAGAGAGGATTTTTAAAGAAGGTTCTGGTCCAACCAAGATTGTGGCCAAGAAGAATGCAGCCATGCATGCTCTGGAAAGCCTGTTTGACATGCCCGTCGAAATAGGTACTTTGCAGTTCTCCAATATTTTCATTGTTTTGTTACACACAGTGGTATCAAGTTGTCTCAAATCTCCTTAGACTTGCAAAAAGGACAACTTTCCAGAAACTCTTAATCCAGTGGCATTGTTTGATTGCACAACTGTGAGAAGCTCAAAATTCTGAGGGAACTCCTTTATAGATTTGCTAAAGAATTTTTCCAAGGTTAACTAAAGTGGGTTTTAGGTTGAAGGAAGGTGGCACAGTGAGAACAGGGGTATAAGGAGATTTTTGTTAAGGTGGGATCCTAATTTTGGATTAGAGCAGCAATTGAGAGCATGCTTAGTTGTTTTCCAACTTAAGATTAACATTTTTTTTCTATTTACAAAGATAAGAGCATGTGATGATGCTCTTTAGGATGCCCTTCGTCGCTTCTTTGTACATTGGGCATCTTGTTAATTTGTGAATTACCAATGGACAGTAACTGTGGTAAAGCCTATATTTGAGGTGAATTTTAACCTTTTGGTTGTGGTCTCTCTCAGCTTCCACGCCAGGAGTTATTGGCCAGGCTAATCAGATGAAAGTTGACAGGCATCCTGTCAGCATTTTGAATGAACATGGACAAAAGAAAGGAGTTAAGGTAACATTTGGATAAAGATTTCCTTAAACTTTTCAAAAGATTCTTCTAAAAATTTCAATGACAGTTGAGAGTAATTATGCAGCTAAATTTTTTTGAGGAGGGAACTATGGTAACCATGGTCAGCAGATTTCTTACATGTGTCTCACAGAGACTTGTACAGTTTGTTTTGACCTGTTTTAAAAGTATCCCATCCACTTGCTACACATCTATATAGAAATTATTTAAAATATTTTTTTTGTTACATTAAGATGATACCCCTTGTCTGATATGTTTGTTTATTCTTAGCACTGTTTTCCATAAAAAGCAGTTTTAGATAGAGAAAATACAAAACCAAAATAATTGCAACTATTATCGGAGCAAAGATAACGTCATCAAGGAGAATTCAAAAAGTTGAAACAAGCAACCTGTTTAAAGCACAGGAAAACACAAGAAACCCGGCTGGGAATTGTTTTTGGTTTGGTATTTGATTGGCTGAGATGGCAGTGAAAGTTTTCTGCACCAATCACAGAGCAATACTCAATTAAAAACTGCTCTAACTTATTAAATAAATGTTGTTTGGAGAGGTTGCACATAAATCACTTCACAATGTTGAAGGGCAAATGATCCATGTTTATAGGTTGAATTTGAAGACATGGGTTATTCAGGCCCTGACCACCTCAGAACATTCAACTTCCGAGCAGTGGTGGGTGATGTGACATATGACACTGGAAATGGTCGCAATAAGAAAGAGGCAAAGAGAGAAGCAGCAGCACTTGCTCTCCAAAGTTTGGGTTTCCAAGTCAATGTTGGTAAGAATCTTTGATTCATTGCACACTGCACCTGCCAACATTTTTTTGATGCACAGGCTGGAGATGTTTATCTAGGGAATAACAGGATTTCCAAAATATCTGACTCTTTCTGCAGATCTACAAAGATTTTTAAAGATCTATTAAAGGCCTAGAGAGTGGTTTTAAGAGTTTTCAAGTACAGAAGCTTGAAAACAAAAGAAGATTCTCAATCTTTATGATTTCAGTGTTGCTTAAGAGAAAAATTGTCTGCATGATACATGGTACTAATTATTACCATTTCATTAAGATTTAACAAAGAGGATCTCCACTGCTGAAGAAGAAATTTCAGTTCCCCCTGAAGAGCACAAACTGTCCCTAACTGATGGTAAAAGCACAGTCAGCGCCTTGTATGAGCTCTGCCAGGCTCACCACTTGCCACAACCACATGCACTGGAAAAACAACCAGAGGGAAAAATAGACCCTACCCTCCATTACTGTGCTTACAAAGTTGGTGAGGAGCTGTATGACTTGGGAGCTGGTCGAACTAAGAAGGCAGCGAAGGAGGCTGCTGCTCAACATGCAGTGGCATCTATTTTAAAACTGAAAGGGCTCCAGCATGTTTACAACCCAGGGACCACCAGTGAAGGGGATGAGATAGCAGCAATGTGTTGGAACCACTTGTCAATTCTGAGTCGTGATGCACCAGAGGGCTGGAGATTTGCTGGGTACAAAGTTGTGGCAGCATTTGTAATGCAGGATGGTGATGATGATCCTGGGGCTGTTGTGAGTTTGGGAACAGGAAACAAGTAGGTTAACTGTAACCCTTGCATCATATGAGCTCTTTAACTTCCACCAGTGATTAACATGTTACTTCTCCCTACAATATCCATACATCATCCAGCAAACATGAATGAGAATACTCAAACTTATCAGGTACAAGTTGTTATCTTGATCTAACACCAAATTCTCCTAACTTATTCACAAGGAAATGTGTAGCAACTTCAGGGGATAAGTGTCAATAAGATCTTGGGTGTTCGAGGGTTTTTCAAGCAAATGTATAAACCTCTGATCATTCTTTGTAATCACTTTTTCAACGAAGAGAAACTAGATGCCAGTCTGAGTCTGTTCTATCAAACATTGTATATACAATGAGAACTTTTCGTCTCTCTCCTTTTTATTCAAAAGATGCATTAGTGGTGATCAACTGCGCATGAATGGAACAACAGTGAATGACTCGCATGCTGAGGTGATAGCACGAAGGAGTCTGCTGAGATTTTTCTATTTCCATCTGAAAGTCTTGTTCAGTGGACAAACAGATGTGAAGAGTATCTTTGTACAGAAGGAAAGGCAAGGAAAGATTCAGCTTAGGGATGGAATAAAGTTTCTTCTGTATGTGAGCACAGCTCCCTGTGGTGATGCTGCCATCTTTGTGAATGAAAATTATTCCAGGTAACTGGCAGCCTAAACATACAGACTATTTTTAATTGATATTGTCCAATACTGCATGAATACACCAGAGCAATGTCAGTGTCTGAACAACTGTGCACCTACCCCTCTCCTGACCCAACATTAATCCTAACTTGTTGTCAGTTGACTGTTGTTTGGCTAGGGGAGGGGTAGGTGCAAAGTTGGTCAGATACTGAGATTGATGCTACTCACCAATGCAAGGGTTAACTGTATAATATTTAGAAGTTTAGTGTCGATTTTTATTGTAGTTATCTTAATTCTTTTATGAGTTTAAAGTATTTTTTAACACTAATTTTTGAAAAAAGGAAATAATCAAGGCTGCATATTTAACAGAATCTTGTATTCTGTTTTGAGCCATCCTCAAATTGATTGAATTGACTTGTTCAATGTAATTAATTTGGAATTTGTATGAAAGTTATAGTTAAGGGGAGACATACTCACTGCCTTATATCACTGAGGAGTAGAAATGGGTTCAGGGAACTGTCATGGAAACAGGACAAACCTGTGGATAGGGTGGAAGTAATTACAACAGAAGGAGGGAACTGTTCTACAGAATTAGCCAGCAAGGTAACTGGCCTGGCAAAGAAGTGTAGGAACACTTGCCATTATGTGTTGGTGAGGAAAGCGGATACATGTACATGAGAAACTCCGTTATCCCTTTCACCTCCTGGGAGTGACCAGTATCTAATTTCTCCTTACAGTATCACTGCTGAATCAAACATTAGGGTCACAAGAATAAAAGAAATGATCACCAACTAAAGAATCTCTTGATTGTCAAACAAATTCTCCTTGTCAGCACCTTAGGAAATGTAAAGGGAACAGTGGAGAGAATATCCATGCTGATTTTAGGGTGTTAAGGGCCATTTGGCCATAAGACGATTTTAATGTTGGCTTGGTATGTATGTTTGTACAAAGATGACAGGTTTATAACATTTACTTGTCAGCCCAGAAGATGCCACTGAAAGTAAAGCATTGTTTGGCTCCAGGCAGCAAGGCCTGTTACGAACAAAAGTGGAAAAAGGAGAAGGAACAATACCTTTGGATCCTCAGGATGGTATTCAGACTATTGATGGAATCCACAGTGGTCAGAGGTTGCGCACTGCTTCGTGTAGTGACAAAATAGCTAAATGGAACGTCCTAGGTTTGTGATTTTCTAAGATTGAAATTCTTCAATGCCCCCTCCCCCCCCTTAACCAAAGTAATTAAAAAAAGCCATAATGATAAAGATATGGATGACGAGGTTTATGGCCACCTAGTTTATTTTACTAAGTAAGGAGCAACTAGATTTAAACGTTTACATTAACTCCCATTAATGACCAAGGCATAATTTCTCATTACGATATCAATACAATGTCACGCAGACCAGTGAAGAGAATAAAGACACATAAAATATGGGTTTTTTAGTTGATCCAATACCAAATTCTTTGAACTAACATCATGAGAATTGTACTGTAGACAGTAAGGAGAATTATCAGTCGGATCGTGAGAGTGAAAGGGTTAACCCAACTTAGCTGAGAAAGGAAATCAAACGTAAAGCAAAACAAAGTGTGCTGTTGAACTCTTCCTTATAAATTGATGACACGCATGCGTGTTGTTGTACTAGGTGTCCAGGGGTCTCTTCTCAGCGTCTTGATTGAGCCTGTCTACATCAACTCCATTATTCTTGGAAAGCTCTTTCACTCAGGCCACCTCAGCCGTGCTGTGAGCATGCGTGTGGAGCGTGACAATGATAACAGCTTTTCAAACAAACTTCCGGGTTCTTACCATGTCAATCATCCTAAACTGGAGGAAGGCCACCTTGTCATGCAGGTCTGTGAAAACCATAACATAACTCAGTTACAACTGTAGGAGGGACACACCGTCGGAAGCGCGTAGTAAATGATTGACCGATTTGTGTTTGGTTAAAGTTTTAAGGCGCTTTTCGTTGGATAGCCATAAAACCAAATCCAAAGCAGTCATTATGGCCAATCACAACAAAGGATAATATCTTAAATAGCCAATGGGAATTCAAGATAAATCCTACTAAACTGCCGAAAGCGCGGGAAAACGCGGGCGACCGAGTCGCGATTGGTTTAAGATTCACATCTGATCGGTTCAGAGAATGGCGCGAGTTTTCTGGACCAATCACAGCGAAATAAAGCAAAAAAACACAACCCCGGATTATTTTCGACTCTCAATTGAAATTTGCTTTATCGTAGCTTATCATAATTATTTCTGCTGAGTTATTTTCATTTTTAACTTTGTCGAGAGAATGGCGCGAATTTGCTTCCTTTGTGAGAGAAAACTCGGTAGATGAGAAGAGTGGCTTGATTTGACTGGATGATCAATGAGAAAGAGCAGCAGGGTTGATAAAAATTTTGATTTTTCCCCGATTGATGCTTCTCTTGCCTTTTCAATCTTCAGGACGGCACGCGAGAAGTTGAAACAAAATGTAAAACCAAGGTGCTATCGTTAAACTGGTCAGCGGGTCAGGACACGTCAGTCGAGGTGTTTGATGGATGCCTAGGTATTGCACCGAGCAAGATGGGCAAGCCATCTCGTCTGAGTCGGCAGGCCTTGTACGCGAGCTTGAAAGAGGTGAGTGCTTTATTATCGTATGAGGAGGTACAGGAATGAAACATGTCCCCAGATGAATGATGTGTTTGAAATATCACACAGCTTATGAGGCTCAAAATTTATTGTAATCCTTTGTTGGACGAGATTGTTGCGCCGAGTTCACTTATCGCTTACTTTGTCCAAAGACGACTTGAGTCGCTTGCAGTTTTACTTAGTTTATGACTGCCCATGAAAATCGTTGATGTTCAGGCAGGGGCTACAATAAAAGCTGGTCACTTGTGGTCGACCGCTGCCCGTCAGACCCCTTACCGCCGTCTGTTTAGCGTGTAAGCAAGCGCTTGTTTGGGTTTCGCTCGCGGCCCCTCCTTCGGGCATAGCTACCTATTGCACCATCGGCAACCGCTTAGGGAAAACGTTTTTGAAACCCCTGTCATGTTGACATAAAATAGTATTTCCAAGTTTAGAAATTGTGTATTCAAGAGTTCGACATCTGCCGATTCGTCCACAAATTCACCAAGAAGATGTTTACAAGTTCTATTATATAATCTCATTGGTAAAGATGGCATTCTTTGATTTTTGTCCTCAAAAGGTTTTGTGGTATTATAATTGGACTGATTTTCGGCAGTCAGAGGTTTTCTTGGGAATTAAAAGGGGAAATGTCAGTTTGGAGACAAGATGTCGTCCATGAGCCGTTTTCCCTATAAACTTGCGATTGAGACACTTGAGTAAGGCTTTTACCTTTTTTTCTTATTATCCTCGAAGAATGATCGTATCAGAAGGAAATACGTCATTAGTAGTATATGTTAGATACAATTCGTCATTGTGTGGGCAAAATATAAAGCAGCAATCTGAATTGCACAGTTGTGCTATCTGTTTTGAAAATAAACATTTTGTACATCGCATTCCTTACATTTGATGATTTATTTGGAGATGAAAGAGAAACGTTTTAACACTCGTTTGCCTTTAAGGTTATCAAATACAGCCAAGATCTTGGACATCGTCAAATTCTTGATGCACAGAGTTACCGCAGCGCCAAAGAGCTGGCAACAGACTATCAAAAGACCAGAACTATGTTGTACAACCGCTTACAAGAAACTGGGTACGGCTCCTGGGATTTGATGAAAAAACCCCCGGAACTGAGTCATTTTAATTAAGTATGTGTTCGTTATGTTGGTAGTTTTACTTACAAAGAACAGATTCTTACGAGTTCAGTACTTTTCTCTGTTATGTTACGTATTTAACTTACATAAGGCTTTATCAAGGGAGTAGCCAGGGGTGTGCTCTAGTGCATTTTAATCCCCCTTTCCCTCTTTCCCTCTGTTGTCCGTAAGACCCCCCTTCCTGGCCCCTGGATTTTTTTTCTTATTCTGACCCAGAAATGATGGGTGAAAGATTTATGAAAGATTTCGAATTTAAGGATAAAATGATCTACAATACGATTTTTTAAATTGCATTTAATTTATTTCCTTTTTTTATTTTGTGGGGAGAGGGTGGAATAATTTCGTAGGAGGAGTGCTTCTTGAGCTTTTAAGAGCCCGTGTTTGAGTCTATAAGGGGAAATATAAGGTAGATACGGGAGGATTATAAGTAGCCAGGTCGTAAATCGCCACCTGGGCCCAGTTGTCCAAAGGGCGGATGACGCTATCCAGCAGATAAGAGTTAACAAAACGAAGTGTACTTTCTACCGGATAGAGATTTATCCAACGGATAGGGTTATCTATTCTTCGAACAACCGGCCCCAAAGTAAACAGTGTTAGAGTATTATCCGGTGTTGTCTTTCTTAATGTCATGCAATACATCTTCCAACGGTGTTAAATTGTAAAGGAGAGTGTCTTTCATTCGACAGAGTGACTTACGTATACCGCATTTTATTAAAAGAAAGTAATATAAAGGAAAACTTTATTGTGTTTCTCTACAGATATGAATAGATGAAAGACTAATGAAATCCTTGTTGGTTTTTTTTAAGCATTAGTTGTACAAAGTTCATGTCACACCTAAATGTTTTATTTTATTTATTTTAATAATAATTGACTGTCCTGCATTTAGGCCAAGTAACACGTATCAGAAGGAGCTTGGTCTATATAATTTGACTAGCTTGTGAGCAGGCCCTCAAAAATAGCAGGCTTTGACACGAACGTTGCAGCCCCTCGCGGAAAAGTATAAGTCTTGAGCAATGAAAACCAAATAGAGATCAGCAGAGGGTGTAGCACTGTTCTAATCCCCAAATCTTCTCGCGGGCGGAGAAACGCGTGTCCTGCAGGGCTGATGATATGGGCCTGCATTAAATACTTACTCTGCTATGCATTTAAATCAGTTTTTAGAATTTTTATGTATCTTTTTTTTATCATGTTTGACTGCTTGACATGAGAATAGTAGGAATGAGTTTTTTTATAGAACTAAGTTATCATTACAAATTTGTAACGTAAATTTCAGCTTTCACTCCTAGGGTACGATTCAGTGGTCAATTCTTTTTGTCGACTCCATTTACGCTTGCAATGATTTTTATAGTAAATATGGTTTATTTTAAAGTAATCTTGATATCGGTGTTATTGTGTGGGAAAGGAGAGTAATTTAAGTTAATACACTGACAATGGTAATGAAATTATCAACTTGTATCGAATTTCCACTAGAAAAAATGTGTTTGATTGTAGAGTGGAAAATAACGTACTCTACACAGCTAGGAACCAGTTTTTATCGAGTGATACATTATTTAAACAAGGTGCAATAAAAATCTCATATCTCTGAATTCGTGTCTGTAATCTTGTTTCGCTTTTCTGTTTATATTTCATTTAATCCTTTCAACCCTGAGAGTGGACAGTAATTTCTCCATACATTTTTATTGCCGAGTCATTTGATAAATTCATGAGAGTAAAGGAAATGATCACCAACCTAAGAAGCTCTGATTGTTGAAAGAATTCTCCTTGTCAGTATCAAAGGGAATGCGTAATAAAGAGTATGAAGAATATGGCCACTGATGTTGAAGTTCATGTTTGTTGTGGCAACACGCAAATTGATGCTCTCACGAGTCATTTTCCCCTAAACTTTTCGAAATAGTAAAATTTTCAAAACATTTTGTTAGTAACAGTTTGATATTTCTTTGTTGTTGGTTTTTTTTTATCAATCCTACTGATAATGGCTTTTCCATGCAGCGGGTAAACCTTTCGGTCCCAAGATCCATTAGTAATTCTCCCTACTTCTGCCATACAATTCTTATGTCGATCATCGAAAATTTTCTTAAATTGATGCATTTCTTTACTCTTATCACTTGTCTGCATGATATTGTATTGATAATGTAAGGAGAAACTCTGTCTTAGTCACTCGTGGGACTTAAGGGTTAAACTAAACCAAAGGTATTGCATCGGCTAATTAGACCCTAGTTAGATGTCAGAAGAGGTTATTAGAACCTCAAGTACACGAATGTACCTGGCCGTTAGCATTATTTGCTTTTGGTTGAGAGGAAGATGCCACTTTTCTAACTTTACTTTAGGGCTTAACAAATTAAAATATAATTCAATTCCTGATTTCTTTCGATGCCTCATTGAGGATTTCCCTTGATAGTTCTTGCTAGTTCAGCCTTCAGCATTCCGGTTTACAATTGTTAGGTGAGTTGGAGTGGTGAGATCTCCGTGCTTATGTATTACGATTTATTTCAAAGCTTAAAATGAGAACTTTGGAACGTTAATGGAACATTGTCGTTTGATCTTCAAATGTGACTTCGTTCAATGTAATGAAGTTATGTTCCTTTAAGCTTACCTTATTCAGAAAGATGCCTAACATTTTGCTTAGGGAGGATAAAATTTGTTGGAACGAATTCATAAGAATTGTAGGCCGTCAAGTCCGCCACATTGAAGTTCTGCCTTTCGCAAAATTTATTATGTCCTGTTAGTAAATAGTGGATTTTTTGTGTGAAATTGCCGTTGCCTACTGCATAATGCAATCCCCTCCATAGATGAAATTATCAAACCATTCGAAACTAGAAAACCATTTATAAGCATACAGGCAGTAGATTTCAAATGAACTAAAATGTGACTGAAACTGAATAATAACTCCGCTGACAAATTTTCTGGCGTTTTTTAAAATGTATTGGATAAAAAGAAATTCTTGGAGCCTATGTTGCGGTAAGTCCTCTAATAGTTAGTTCAGGTCAGATCCATCGTTTTAAGTGTTTTTAATGAATTTAATTGAGTTTCACTGCGACGGAATGTTCCCGAAAGTCTGTGGAAAGTTCAACTTTGAATTCTACGAACTTCATTCAGTTCTACAGTTTAAAGATAAACGCATTTAGGACTAGACAGTTTAAGCTTTGAAAAGGGATGTATTTCTTTTCAGAAACTGACCTAGATTAATTCTCTGTTTTTATGTCATCGTGTTCAAACCGAATTTCATCATCAATTTTCTTGACCCTCATTTTTAGACGTCATAGTTCACTAGACCAAGACTTATAAGATAAACCCAGTTTTTTGAGAGACCCATATATCTCACAAATGAAATTAGAAACAGATATCAGAGGCGTATCAACATGGAAGTCAGAGGAGTTTGATAAATTTTAGTGGTGTGAAAGTCATTGTTATTTAGTATTACAATTGTTACACTTTGTCTCAAAGCACCTATTTTCCTCGTACCTTGAAAAAGCTTGATTTAAAAACACTCATTTACGGCTGACCCTAAATTTTTAACACCCTCAAACGGGCCGCTGCAATTCCCTTAAATATTTTATTTACAAGTAAACAAATTTCATACATCTTTGTTGTTTTTGCTGTTGCTATATGACAAACTATAGGATTCACAACCGTATATTACTTCATTGTACTGTACACAAATACAACAAGGATGCGTACTCTACAAACTGGTCGAATGTACTTTTGACAGCAGTAAGTCTGTCGAATCTCGATAACGTTTTATATTTTTCGCGCTAAGGAGTCATCGCCTCGTGAAATTTAAGAATCCATAACTAGAACTTGTAGAAATGTAGAATTCAAGCGCTTATCAAACGCGTATAGAAATTACATTCAGATAATATTTAACGACCACCTGCAAGGGTTTACAGCTGAAGACATATTACGCGTGCGCCCTGAATTTCCTTGACAATGACTTGAATGACAGCTTCGAAAAGTTTAAGTTTTTTGCATGAAATTTTCAATCGCCTAAGGCTTTCGAATGCAAATCACTCGTCCTTTCTCGCCGCGCGACCAAATGCAAATAGTGAATATAAACATTGCGAGAGTTAGACAAGCTTTTCTGGCAAAGAGCCTTTTTCGTGGAGCAAAAAATCGATTTTTGTCGTCTGGTTTGTACTGATCAACAAATTGCAGACGGGTAAATTGATCTCATAACAATTTCAACCACAAGGAATAGAGATGATTCGCGGAAAATCATACTGGTTGAAAGCATATGTTCAATTGCTTGTTTCTTGTTGACCAAGGTTGAAAGAACCACGCACCTGTCGAGTGAGAAATTTTCGAATTTCTTGGCTCGGATTTGTTACGGAGTTTTTGCCCGCAAAACCACAAGTGCACCAACGTGGACTGTTAAAATAATCTTTTCTGGGATTTGTGGCAGAGTTGGGGTGAGAAAAAACGCCCAGCGCCGATGAGGAATTCCCTTTGGAAATGAATGAGTTGAATACGGTTGCAGTCAAGGAAATTGTTAGCATAAGGGAAGAAGAAAAACTAGACAAAGAAGAGGAGGAACCAAGCATGCAAGATGTGGAAATTCCGGGCAGTTCAAACAACGTGCAAGATTGTGAGCTGCACAAGCAACGCAGTCAAACATCGTCCTCGCCGCCGCAAACAGCGAAACGAAAAGATCGCATAAGCATTAATGTTGGTGGTATCAGACACGAAACGTATCGTAGTACACTAAAAAATATTCCCGACACTCGTTTGTCGTGGCTTGCAGATGCCTCGCCTGGTTCCGTGGACTATGATGCAGATATGGGAGAATACTTTTTTGACCGCCATCCAAGCGTATTTTCTAATGTTTTAAACTATTATCGCACGGGATATCTTCATTGCCCGTTGGATGTTTGTGGACCTTTATTCGAAGACGAGCTGAATTTTTGGGGAATTGATGATCAGCAAGTGGAGTCCTGTTGCTGGTTAACGTATCGACAACATCGAGATGCACAAGAAACGCTCGCTGCGTTCGAAGGAGTGGAATTCGAAAACGATTTTGACGATGAAGAACAGCCTGATTTTGGCCGATACGGCTTCACATTCGCGGCGGAAACCGAACCAAATGTAACTTGGTGGCAGAAATATCAGCCGCGAATTTGGACTTTAATGGAGGAGCCGTATTCTTCAAAGCTTGCGAAGGTTAGTGTAAATTATAGTTTAAAGGCACAAGGCCGTTTTGGAAGTGGTGAGAAACCCTCAGAAACCATTTCAATTTGAGCTCATTTAAGAAATAAAAAATAATACGCGCGCTGTATCGCAAGATTTTCAAAGTTACAATTAAACTCCCAACGGCACTTTTCATATCAATGAGAGGAAAACTAGGTTATGTTCGAAGCCACGAATAAGTTTTGAAGGATATTTTCTAATTGTTGCAATAAACGGTAGCGCGCCTCGAAAAGCAAGGTCATAAAAGAAACCTTATATACGCCCGAAGCCTGTTTTACTCATCGATGAAAAATCGAATCTTCTACAATACATTTGTAGTTCGGCTTGAGTACTTTAATCGAAGTCACAAACCGCTCGATTTTAAACTTTTAACCGCGATCTATTGACGTAAATTACCCGCGAAAAATAGAAGAGCTCTTAGAGCCACGATATTTCGTTGAATTCATCAGTTTTCGAAACATCATGGGTGATTTTTTCAACTTTAAGTCATATCTCGCTCGGAGATGTTTACGTTATTTCCCGCGGAGCAAGCACGTATATATACAAAATATAGTATGGACAATTTGTCGCGTGAAAAAGTTCTAAACCTCAATCATAAATATTGTGAATAAAATGCTAGTGAGCTTTCGTAAACTGTAGAAGTCATCTTTGTGGGGTTTTCGTTGAATGAAAAGACGAAAATTTCTGACCTTTTGAAGAGGGGGATATTTAAAATTCATATTTAAACTAGTATTTCGCTCCGAATATTTCAACGCATAACACAATAACAGTGTTGAAATATAAAGCTACAAAGAAGGATCTCTCTGAACCGCGATCAGATTTCATTTCGCACAGGCGGTTATATTTAGATGCACAGACTTAAAAGGGGTAAAAAAAACGCATCAACTTCGATTGAAATTTTGTAACTACCTTGTAACATGAGTAAACCGTACCCACAGATAGGAAATAAAATATTTATGAGACAGAGTGCCTCAATGATTGCTTTATACAAGATTCCTGGTGAGCTATGAATTCTTGTAATCCTGGAAATTATAGTCTGCTCGATTTAATCAAGGTCTAAATTCTTCACGTAATTGGTGGCTTTAGAAGTATCTCCTGTTTAACAAGCGAGCGGATAAAAGACTCAGATGGAAATTATTCCTTTATTTTAACAAAGAAATGGCGATCCTTGATTTTTAGTAAAACGTTTTTTCTTTATCTCTCAAGTTCTTTACTATTTCACCAGTCTCCCAGCATGTCTATTGAATAATTATCGTTTAAAACACGAAGGGGCGATTTAGAAACTGAAGTATACTTATCTTATTCAAAAACAATTCAAGAGATCTGAGTCTTTTTTTCTCTACAAAACGAAATTTTATTCCGATTTTTAATATACTTGTGGCCCTCAAAGCTTGGACCAAAGTTTACTTTTTTGTAGGAAAACGTATTTGGTTGTGACGTTCAAGTAGTTAATTTACAATGCTGGTGTACTATAAATCGAGTCTAAGTGCTGCTGGTTGGTTCCAAGCGAAATTTAATCAATTCAGCTATAGAGGAAATGTGAGTTAAATTCACGTTGTGAAGTCCAGAGTGCTGAGAAAATTTAAATCTTCTTCGGAAGAAAATTGCTTTCAAAAGCCATTTAAGTGCTTGAGTCGTGCGGATGAAAGATTATCAGGAACGAATTTTCGTTCGCTCGTTTATTTTCAGTATTTTTGTACTCGCTGTGAGACATACTCACATTCAGTTGGATTCATCTTACTTTCGTTCTGCTGTGATGGACGGAAAACATATTTCACTGTGGTGATTTATCGGTGTTATGGAAATAGGGCATTCGTTAGCCGTATCACTAGAACCCGGAGCTAAGTAGATACATCAAAAAGAACTGTCTGGTGAATTGAAATTATGTACGATTTATGAAACGAGAATTCTTCATAATAAAGAAGGGAAAACGCACATAAATGATTTAGCTTACTGTTGGCAAATATTTATTTTAAGAAAATTCTTCGAGTATAGAGATTTCAAAGCCAGTTATTAGAAGGTGAATGTATTTAGATACTATAAGTACACAATGTTGACGGTTGCCACTAGTTACGCTTCTAATACCGACCAATCTGAAGACCTTGCGCTCGCCGAGAAGAACAATTTGCTGATAACAATTTTGATAACATATTTCGCGTCGGTTCGATCTCTAACTTAAACCATGTTGCAATCGACGGAGTTTTGTACTGGTGATGATTTGATACCGTGGGAAAAAGAAATACGCTGCGATTTTTAACGTCAGTGACTAAAAACTAAACCAATAGTAAAAGTTTTTGTTGTTTGAAATTGGTGTATTTCACAGCCCAGGCAGGGCTGAACGGCTTCTTAGTCAAAGAAGTTATTTTTAACACTGGGTCTGTTTGTCCTAAAACGCTCTTCACAAACGACATGTTAATTAGTTGTTTCTCGGGATCAAACCTCGTAGCTAAGAAACGACATAACAAAGGATCTATGCGTACCAACGTTACCAGTTGCCCACGTCGACCATATATTAATATATTATAAGACGAATTGGCTCGAAGGCGTTTGTATTACCTTGAATACAGAGAAAAAATGAAGACTAGCAGACTGGGGGAGGGAGGTGACACCACTCTAGTTGAGAAAAAGAGAGAAATATGAGCAGAGAAATGATTTCCTAAACATAATTTAGTACCGCGCGAGAGCACAAGCAAAATACTTAAAAAGCTTTCAGCTAGTTTAACGGTTTTAAGTGATTTGGGTTGACAAAACCGCCGAAGAATATTCTTAAAGCTCAAATGTTTCTTTCCCAGTCTGAACTGACCAGTTTTATTCCAGCTTTGATTTCATTCCACGAGGACCATTGAAAACGTGTATTTCTTAATGTTTGATAAAACTTAAATGGTGATCAATTTGTTTATGTATTCAGGTCATTGCATACACGACACTGACACTGATCGTCCTGTCAGTGATCTTGTTCTGTTTGGAGTCCATACAATATTTCCGTGAGGTAAAACCCAAGCTGGCGCTTCAAATCTTGGAAGCAATCTGCGTTGCCTGGTTTACGCTGGAACTTTTGGTTCGATTCATCTTTTGTCCACATAAATTGGCATTCTTCAAAAAAGTTATGAACTGGATAGATTTTTTGGCGATCGTGCCGTTTTACGTCAGCCTATACCCAGCTACAGAGAACAGTGACAACGTGGAGATCTTGAATATAATTCGGCTCATCAGAATTTTCCGGATTTTCAAACTTTCTCGTCACTCATCCGGGCTTCAAATCCTGGGACACACTTTGCGAGCAAGCGTGCGCGAGCTACTTCTACTAATTTCGTTTTTGATCATCGGAGTTGTCCTATTTGCTAGTTTAATTTATTACTGGGAGAAAGACGTTCCCAACACGAAATTCTGCGACATACCAAATTGCTTCTGGTGGGCCGTGGTTACCATGACGACCGTGGGTTATGGTGACATGGCACCCATAACGCCTATGGGTAAATTTATTGGCAGCATTTGCGCGGTCTGTGGAGTGCTGACGATAGCACTTCCGGTTCCTGTAATTGTCAACAATTTTTCTTTGTATTATTCTCACGCCCAGGCGAGACTTAAATTACCGAAGAAGCGACGTCGAGTTCTCGTTAATGCTCCGAACGCTCTTAAGGCGTCGGCCGTCGTCGAGAATGGAATGAGTGGTGATTCCAATGGCAGCTCTGATAGCGGCTGCACTGAGAACAGTGCTGCAAATGGTGGACGAAAGTGTAGTCTTCTGATTACTGATGAACTCAATGAAGTTAAACCCAGACGGCCTGTGAGGAGGGATAGTCATTTGTTTAATAATACATCAACTTCCAATGGAGATGTTGCTGCTACTGCTGCCACAACAAACAACAGCAGTCGACAGAGTTACGCCATGCAGAAACGGCTGTCAATGAGACCTACAGTACCCACCCTACCGGAAGTGGAATGAAACCAACGATACCAAACCTAGCGGATGTGAAATGAACCCTTCCCGAGATTACGTATCATCTATGGAGGTAAGGGAAGTGGGAGAGAAGTTAAACACTTCCCCCTCCCCCCTCCCCCCCCCAAACCTACCCCCAGAAGACTTTCATTGAAACGAAGTTCGAGAGCATGAGAGCAATAAAGTCAAAAGCACGACCCACTGTCGTAACAAGGGGAAGAGTGCTTGGGTATAGGTGTCGTCGGCTACTTTGTCAGTAAAATCGTATCAAGCGTGCTTTAAGTAAAACCCAGCCTTGACATCATTTTTAAACGTATTCTTGAGAGAAGATTTGGTGTCTTCATTGCACGCGAATTAATATATCAAAGACATAGTTGTGCTTTAAATATATCGAAACTTAATGGCTTAATGGATCTTAAGTGAGCGAAAATGTTTCTTGTAAACAAAAATATTTGTTTACACATTTGCAATATTGTTTATTCATTTCATACAAATGTGAAATTCAGTAGCCCTTGGATCTATAAAGCATCTTTGCTCGGATGAATCAAAATCTGACATTTTCATTATCTTCAGCTCATAGGTCATCGTTTTATAGCTCAACTTAACTGAGCTTATTAATGGTTAATACATTTTATGAAAATGTGTTGGGACTGGCCGAGTCATGCAAAAAAGACGATTATAAGGGAAGATGGCTTTTGGCTTAAAAGTGCTGTTTAAAAAAGGATATTTGGAATCAATAACCCTATGACGTAACACCGCTAACCGTCAATGGTTCCTTTAGGGTCAGTTTAGTTGCCTGGCAGCATCATTTATTAAACGGGGAAGACGTCATTATTTACAATTTTGTGAAATGTAACCATGCTTTCGTATCGAAGGGATGTTAAGGACGATCTTGAAATGGTAATGACGGAAATTTGGTTCTCGTGGCAACAGAGTGATAAGCATGCAGAATGTCACCTGAAGCTTCCTTCTTCGAAAGATTGGCAACGAAGTACACAACTTTTTAATTGACAACACCTATAAATACCGTAAATTCCCAAAAAAGTGATGAGCTATGACGTTGAATACTAACCTAAATTTAATTTGACAAGGACATTTTTTTCTCTAAAATAATTAAATTTGGGAGGTGTTGACAGATTCGAAATATCGTTCTGTAATCAATAAAAAGGGCGCTTGCAACAAGATTGGGATCTCAAATTGTCCACTAAGCATTGATAACTAAGTGTCATCGCAAATGTTTATCACCTGAAAGGTTTTTAGACCGAACATTATAAATCAAGTGGCGATGAAGATTGTATTTAAAAATTGCAATGTAATTAGATTTTTTTCGACAAAAGCACACATTCCTAGTAACGTTTACAAATCATAGAAAAGGTCACATATAAAGTCACATACAATAACAGAATACTTATGTGACCAAGAGTTTATATATCCCTAAATGTACAAAGTGTATATAGTTCATAACTGTCACTTGAAGACTATTTTCCTAGTAAGATAGCCAGACAATCCAAAAGTTAAGAAACATGTCGAGTAGATTTTTGTAGATGTGTAGTTGAACTAAGACATAAAGTTTGAATAAATCACTTTTAGATAGTTGGACTCGTTGTGTATATTTCCTTTGTGTCTTGTTTTCCTAATAAGAATTGTTCGAAAGAGTAATGTGTTCTCTGTAGCTTTCTGTATGTATATAACTTAAGTTATTTAATAGCTTATATCGATATGAACAGACAGACTGAGACTGCAGCGAATCACGATGTACGTTCGTTTATTGAATCGTGTAACAAAGCTGATTATTGCAATCTGATTCCCTACCGAAACGAGGTTTTTCACGGAAGGGAGGAGGGGGGAAACTGCTGCTCGACAGTGAGGTTTACTTATATGCACC